CCGAGGAACTACATACCTCAGACTTCAAGAGTCTGGTACATTACAGTTCCTCTCAGGCTCATAGCCGAGGAACTACATACCTCAGACTTCGAGAGTCCGGTACATTACAGTTCCTCTCAGGCTCATTGCTGAGGAATTAGATACCTCGAACCTCCAGAGTCCGGTACAATACAGTTTCCCTCAAGCTCATCCCCGAGGAACTACATGCCTCGGCTCTCTAGAGTCCGTTACATTACAGTTCTTCTAAGGCTCAGCGCCGAAGAATAATTCGCTTCGGACCCTAAGTGTCCGGTTCAACACGTTTCCTTTAAGGCTCAGCACCGAAGAATACTTCGCTTCAGACCCTAAGTGTCCAGTTCAGCATGTTTCCTCTAAGGCTCAACGCCGAGGACTGATTCGCTTCTGATCCTAAGTGTCCGATTCAGCAGATTTCCTCTAAGGCTCAGCGCCGAGGAATACTTTGCTTAGGACTCTAAGTGTCCGGTTCAGTACATTTCCTCTCAGGCTCAGCGCCGAGGAACTGTACACTTCGGACCACAAAAAATATGATGTCCTCAAACAAGTGTATTTTCTTGAGAAACAGGAGGACATTACTGTGCAACAAAGCGTATGCAATGTAAGGGCAGTCACAAATTCCCATAACAGAGCAGAGTCAAAAGCTCCACCACAGTTGGACTTGGAGTTGGAGGAATCGAAGGGTTGGGAGCTGCAGGAACTGATGAAGTTGGAGCTAGATGATCATCCTGATGAGACTTCACCATTTCAGCAAAAAACACTTCAGCTTCTTGGGCTTATGGACCCTCAGGATAAGGGAAGGACACTTCCATGTCAGCATTAAAGGCCTCCGGATCGTTCAACTTATCTCCCGAACCTTGTACAAAGCCAAACCGAAAGGCCTTAGCCCTGGACAAGCGCACCAAGGTAGAGTAACGACCTTGCATCTATTTCCCAGCAGTACCACGGGTGCCAATTGCATTTTTCAAACGCTAGACCTCAGCTTCCAGTGTCTCCACCTTAGCTTCAGACACGGCCAAACACTTCTTATCTTATAAACATCCCTCGTTTCAGATGCAATCTTTGCATTAATAGCTGCATACGAGACCTTCTTTTCAGAATTGCCAAGATCTTTCTCCAACTTCTTAATGGAGAGAAGACAAAAAGAAAGGGAGAATGACGAACCTCAATGGCTCGAACAGGGGCAGATGGAGGCAGTTATTCCAACTCCATATTACATTCCCCGAGCAACTGCTAGTGCTACAGAGGGGTCGGTAATCATAGAATCACCAGAGTAAAGAACTGATTTATCAGCTCTAGATATAAATGGCTTCCAAGGTGCTCCAGTCTCTGCCATGACAAATGCTCTAACCTAGTGATGTGACAAAGTGAAGAGCGTAAGGAATGAAATTAACGCAGTAAAAGCGGAAGTAACTCTTATGGAAACCCTTTGGTCAGAATATCAGTAATCACGCCTCAAATCCACTTCTTACAAAATTGGTAATCGTACAGCTTTAATTCCCTTCTTATTAGGAGTAGTACTCCAATTAAAAAAGGAATTGGGGGCTAAGTGTGGAGGGAAAAAATCCCCTCCAATGAGTATAATCCACGTCATCATAAATATAAACATATCCTTGATAAGTTTATAAAGCCCACCTCGCTCAAACCCAAATTGAATTTGATACTAGTCCAAGATTACTGTTCACAAGCCCAATACTATTGTTATTTGACCTTCAGCCCTGTTGAAGCCCGAATTAAGAGATTATCAGTCCAACATGTTAATATTAAACATCCGGCCCGTTATTCAAGCCCAGCTGATTCAAGGTATATTCAGCCCAGTTTTCCAAGATTGAACAAGTCCTATCGTTAGAAGGATTTACCATAAAAGGAGAATTCTTTGATAGGAAGTTCTATACAAGGCAAGTTCTGCGTAGGAAATATTATACAATAGAAAAAACTCTATTCGTAAAGAAAGTCATGTATGGGAAGAATTGGAGGACAAGCAACGCGAGTCCTACCTTAATTCTACCAATTTTTGTATATAAATAGAGGCATAGACCTCCAATAAAGGGATGAAGCAATTCTACGCTTCTCTATATACTGTTTTTGTTTATTTTTATTGTTTGTTAAGTGAGTTGTTTTATTTCTCTTAATCATTATTGGTTGGGTGAAATTTTGCACCTACACATTCCATCCCCCCTTTGTCATATAGTAATTATATCCGCTCAGGTGCTATCCTTCTTCTATCTCAGCAACTGCAATTATTTCACCTTCTTCATCTCCATCTTCTTCCATTTCTTCTTCATCTTCTTCATTTTCTTCTTCTTCTTCATCTTCATCTTCATCTTCTTCCATTTCTTCTTCTTCATCTCCATCTCCTCCAAATTCAAGACAACACATATTGACAAAAATAAAATAAAATAAATTGATGACTTTACATAAGTGAGAGAGAGGGGTTTGACAGGAAATGAACTTGATAATTTGTTCCCTTGAATCTAGTGCCACTGAACCAGTCATCTCTAAATGATGAATCTTAAAGGCCTGCTCATATTCATCTGATTTGAAAAACTTCGACCAGATACCACTAGTTTCTTCTTTCACTGAAATCACGCTACTGACTGTGGTTCCACTGCATCAAATGAACAATTTAACATGTCATAGCATTTATCAGTCACACTGACCGAACAGAGTATGCCCTTATTTCAATAAATTCCATCTAATATTAGCAAGTAAATTGCAACCAACCAGCTCAATGGGGCCAAAAGCAGCTTTGAAGTTGAATTATAACTCTGTGTAGGTCATTGAGTCAGCCTGCGCAGGTTCAACATCAATTATACTGCCTGTTGGAGTATGATCATCACGGCCAAACCTATTCCTTTTACCATCATTCTTCAGTGACTCTGCCATATCTTGTGGAAGGGAATCCTCCAATTGCATTTTTTCATTTTTAAATTTCAAATCCACTGTCAATTTGTCGTGAACATCCTGTTCTCCATCTGAACTGGTACTCATTTTTGTGTCCAGAGAACTAACTTCCCCCTCTAGTTCTACAGCAATATCTGGAGTTGATTCACACTCACACGCACATTGGAAAGAAGGATCCTGGAACTCAATTATATTTGAAGCTCCTTTGCTATCTTGGTTTTCTTTAGACGTTTTCTCTTCTTTCATTAGGCTTCCCCCCAAACCAAAACTATCCAATTGACAAAAAAATGAGTCAGATATCGTATACTGAAAATTAGATTACAACCTTCCAATCTGCATAATTACTAAATGTAGATATCAACAGGAGCCTCAAAAGAAATTTGTACACCTATTAACATCAAATGAGAAGTTTATGCGATTTCCAGGGGCAGATTCATCTTTAAGATGTTTCCTTTCTAGTTTTATTCAAAGTGGAATTGATATAAAGATCTGATATGTCTACTTTGAATGATAATATGTTGTCAAAATCGACATCAAGTCTGAAATGCATATCTCTAGAAAAATTTATTGCTTCGGGAGTTCTATCTGGTGATAGTAAGTCACACACTAAAATAACTCAAAAGGTTTTGAATGGCACTTACAAGTGGTCAAAATTGTATGTCTTTTTCTTTCCTTTGACAACAGTATCAAAGTCAAAATCCATCATGCCATTTTCTGCCACAGACATTGATTTCCATTTACTAAGAAAATCCTTGCCAATTTCCATATCTGCTTCACATGTATGATAATAACTATTATTTCGATAGCAAGGATCCTAGAAACAGTAAGTTGACAATAATTATTGGTTAGGTGATAAAGGGCTATGAAGAGAATACGTGAGAAAATGGATCTCTGCTTCACATGTATGGTAAATGTTTGGTGTTTGTGAGAACCATGTGAATCACCGACTGAACGGGAAGCGCCCCTTTCCCTTCTTTGTTTGTCTGATTTGGGGGAAAGGGTCCGTTGAGTTACTTCAATCTCTATTTCTATTTGAAAGAATCTTGAGGAACAGGATTTTGTTTCTCCAACAATTACATTTCTACCGATTATATTTCAAATTACTATATTTTTCATCATATGTATTTTCTTTTTTCGAAACAAAAAACAATTAAATTATTTGTTGAACTATTTCTCAATGGTAGTATTCTTCAACTAAACCAATATATTTGCAAAAAATTGAATTTAGTAAATTAATTTTTTTTGAAAAATAAATTAAACAATAAAATATTCATTATGGGTTGATGTATTAACTATAGAGGTTAAAAAAATAAAAATTAACTTTTTGAGGCAACAGACCATACAGTGTCTTAATGGCTCTATTTTCAGTATTTTCATATATGTGTGTGTCTGTTTTTGTGAAACAGTAAAATTGTAAACACTTTAAGACAATTAAAGTTTATATAAGGTACAATGCACCAGGAAAACCTTGGCCCATGAAAAATTACAAAAAAGGACCCATTGGTAAAAGCCCAACCCGCCAAACAATGATAGAATGAATTTGATTATTGACTTACTAAGGCATGTACTTGGTTTGTAATTCTAATAATAGTTTTTTGTTTTACGAAAAGTGTACAAATTTTTTTTTATTTGGTTCAATTTTCTGAATACTATTTCTTGAAAACTCAATTACGAAAAATTCTTTTTGGTTCAGTTTTATAAAACTGTTTCAGAGAAACGTCTTTTATAATTATCTTAAAACAGTTTTATATTCCTTAAATTCTTTGAAAACTATTTTTAGGGTTACAAATACTGTTTAAATTTTTTTGAAGTATTGTATATTTTTTGATTGCCATGAACCATTTAATAATCTCTGGTTGATTAATAAATATTGGTGGGTGTGAACGTGTATCAAAATTCAAAAGCTTTCAATTTAGGCACCAATGGCATCCCATTTGTCACGTGATGTTTATACTTTGTATAATTCAGTGGAGGAATATGAGGTAGTATGCAAAGAAAAATAGTGTATGGGGACAACGTACACACACGCATTATAAATAGCCAAAGGTCTGTTTTAGCTTAAACCCACACCAAACAAGGCCATGGCTTTTCGTAATTCCCTTCCAAAAACAGCCACCATCACAACCTTCCCCTTGTTAGCACCGGACATAACAAATCCAAATTGTACAAATTGCTGCCTGCCAATTACCACAAACATAAAAATAGTGGATTTTGTGCTTCCACGACCATCTGATCTCTTGCGCCATAGGCAGGCTGCTCATAAAGTCGACAACGTCGAATACCTAGTCAAGTATGCGGTGGCCATTGAACGCATGAAATCCCTTCCTGCAGACGACCAACGTAATTTCATGCAACAATCTAACGTCCATCGTGCTTATTGTGATGGTGCTTACTACCAAGTTGGGTTTCCAGGCCTTCAGTTTCAAGTACACAAGTCATGGCTCTTCTTTCCATTCCATAGATGGTACCTCTACTTCTATGAAAAAATCTCGGGAAAATTAATCAATGACCCAACTTTCGCATTGCCATTTTGGAATTATGATGATCCTGATGGCATGCAACTGCCTACAATGTATGCTAAGAGCAACTCCAATGCTCTCATTTGGGCCTCTCAAACTCAAAATATGAGAGTTGGGTAAAAAAAGCTCTCTCCAATGGGCTCTTATTTGGGCTTTCAAATTTTGAAATTCTCAAATTTTCTCTCACATATTAGCAGCTGCCAATTTTTTTTGGTAAGTCTCTCATTTCACAATACGACGCCGTTTCTTTTATTTATCTGTGGAATCACATTGTCACCCACTCGCATCTCTCTCTCTCTCTCTCTCTCTCTCCTTGTCTGTTGCAATATAGAGAGAGAAAAGTTCTGGGACAATCCGATCTGTAGCAGAGGAAGAAAATCGATGACAAAAAGAGGGTTACTGATGGACCTCGATCTTGACAGTTACTAGCCGTTAGATCAGATCTTCGTCTCCTCCAATCCTACGTCGCCGTTCCTTCTCACATCCTCAGTAACCCGCTCTTGCGAAGCTGGCCTGACTTTGGTTTTTCTTGGTTGGGAACGGATTCTTCTCTCTCTCTCTCTCTCCTTATCTATTGTAATATGGGTTTTGAACGTCTGATTCTTGTTTATTTTGTAGTTTGCAGTTGCAGAGAGAGGGGGAGGGGGGGGGGGGGGGGGATTCAGAGTTGAGAACGAGAATAAAGGTGGGGGCGATTGGGGAGGCTGTAATGATTTGCCCTAAAAATATTATATTTTTAATAAAATATATATAATATATATAACTTTCTGAAAAAGAAAAAAAAAATTATATAAAAAAAATTAACTCACAAATAGTGGTAAAAAAATTATAATTCTTTTTTTAAGTTTAATTTTAGTTTCCTTCTAATGTTTACAACTTGATTTGGAATGTGCCTAATATTAATATTACTGATACAAATATAAATTGTGGGAATGGTAGTTAAAAAAGAATGATGGTTGTGTCAAAAAATAGCATTTTGCACGGAATACACCATTAGAACAGAATTGTTAAAATGTAACATTTTGACACTGTAACACCTGTCAAAATATAAATTTGGCATACGAAAATCGCTTTTAGCATTAGAGATGCTCTAACAACCTTTTTTTCACCACTCTATGATCCTCTCCGTAGTGCAAACCACTACCCACCAACCATTATTGATATTAATTACAATGGCATTGATATAAACCAATACCCGATGAAGAAAAAGTGTCCAACAATCTCTATGTCATGTATAAAGCAATGGTGACTAGCAACATCGCTGAGCTTTTTCTCGGCAGCCCTTACTATGCCACTGTAAATGCTGTAACCAAACCTGGCTCGGTCAAGCTTAAACCACATAATACAATGCACCGTTGGACTGGTTACCGATTGTAGCCTAACAAAGAGAACATGGGGGCCTTCTACTCAAAACTATGATGCGACCGAGCATGTGCACAAAATAATGCACAATACTTTAGGTTTAGAAATAATGTCAAGTGGGCATCATATTTTATAATTTATAAACCACTAAACACTTATACTATGGAGTATGAAACGAGCAGGGATCGTCCCAAAAGATCTAAACAATTATAGGTTTTTAGAGTTGAATTCTACTTTAGCGCTTATGTGATTGTTAAAAAAGTGATTTGTTTGTGATTAAAACTAATTTTAAACTAAATGATTGCAATAAAGAAATAGAGTTTAAGAGATTGGAAAGAGACTTAGGGTGTAGGATTCACCACTAAGTACATTCTCTAACTCACTAACTGTCAACTAATTGGGGAAATAATACTATGTAATCTATATGTGGCTAACAATTGCAATGGAAAGTGTAAACCATGAATTTTAAGCATGAATCAACTACCTAATGACAATTAAACTAAGTGTAGTGCAATTCACCAATTCAAAGCATGATTCATCAATTTAAGTTACAAATTTAACACGCATTAATCTAGAGAATATGTAATTGTGACAATAAGTATGGATTTCAAACAATTGTATAGATTGTCTACTTACCTAATAATTAATTTGCAATTAACTAATTTACCTTAAATTAAACTAACCAAACTTGAAATTAAACTATTTAAACTAGACATTAACCTAATTGTGTAGTACAACCCATTTAATATAAGCAATTTCCATCAAATTAGAACACAATTACATCAAATTAATACAATGCATAGCCATCACATGATTCAATTCACAAAGAAATCAAGTGTAAAAATTAATTATTAATCAAAAACATATAAGACCATATGAGATTGATATAGACAATCAAATGAAAGAATTAATATATATTTCAAGGCTATAACAAAAATTACATAAATTAATCCCCAAAAGTTAAGAATTAAGAATTAGGTTACATGCTTAGGGTTTATCCAACCCTAAGTTGAAGAATCAGCCACTCACGGTTAATGGATGCAAGATGTCAACAAGCTCCATCCTTTGATTCATCTGGCTCCTCTTCTTCTTCTTTGAACTTTTCTCAAGAACCCTAGCTTTCCTCATTTTCGTGTTTTCCAGAGAGAATATCGATATATCGATACAAAAAAATAAAGGGTTAACTTCACTTACACCCCCTGAGGTATGTCCTAACTTCAAGGAAACCCTCCCACGTTTGCAAAAATTCAGTCAGACCCTCTATCAGACATTGTCAGCTAACAAAAAATAATAAGTGAATGAAATGACTAAATTGCCCTTTTGTTGTTTTCCTCTATACACTTAACCAAACCAAAGTTTGTATAACTTTAGCTCAATTTTGTTTTAACTTGTGAACCAAACACCTTATAATCACAGTGGCCAAACACTTGAATCCACTTTACTTCGTTAACCCAAACTTAGGTTTTGCAATTTCATTTTGTGGGCTAACCCTAAATAGAGAGGTAGAGAGAAAAGATAACAGAGAGGTATAGTTCGTATGTGAAGACATCGATTTTGGTTAATACGTACTCGAAATACGCTTGATAAAACAACATATTTGCAGATAGTTGAAGGTTCGAAGGGGAAACATTTGTTTGATTTGAAGCTGTTGAGAAAAAATCGCGATTTGGAGGTATGAATTTTGTCTTTCTAAAAATTAATTTTGGTTTTAGTTGATAGGGGGTTTCGGGTTTGGAAAAATGGGTTTCTTTTTTAGTGTTTGCTTGTTCGGTTGTTTTGGTTTGGGGGTTTAGGGTTTGTTAAATTTATATCTATAATTTAGGATCTTGATTTGGGGGTTTAGGGTTAGTTTTTGAGTTTCTTTGTTGGGTTTGTTGAATTGTTCGATTGTCTGTAAATTTATGATCTTGATTTTTGTTCAATTTGCCTGTAAATTGTTCGATTTGAGAGTTTTATTTGAAAATGCACGAATTTGTTTAATTTATGTTAAAATGTCTGTAATTTGAAAATGCATGAATTTGTTCAATATGTCTATAATTTCTTTGTTTCAATGGACCAGTGCCTTATTTATGCCATTTTTGTTTATATTTCTTGTTAGTTGAATTATTGACAGTGATGGGAGATATTTATCATAATTTTCACGTGCACTACAAGTCAAGATGTAGAACTAAGAAAACCAAAAGATCCATACAATAGTTTAACATAACAAAAAAACATTCACCCGATCTCTATGACCAATATGACTAAAAAAGAATCTGTGAACCACAAGAAAATCCAAGTTCTGAGCACAAGAAAATATGTAAAGAAACAATGCAGGAAAAAGGCAAGCATTTATGAACTGATGACAGGCCAACATATTTTGCGCCAAATATTAAGTACTAGGAACCACAGAACAACATAAATTTCACGTCTTTAACATAATGCAATGACAGGCCAACATATTTTGCGCCATATATTAAGTACTAGGAACCACAGAACAACATAAATTTCACGTCTTTAACATAATGCAATGTGGCCCCTCGGGGCTTGGCTGTGATGGTAGGAACTTGGCACTTGCACACACTAGGCCAGTGTTCGACTCCTCCCAAGTCATCCATGTCCTCCGACTCACCCAGTGTATTCTTGGGGCGAGACTCTACACCCCCATGTATGTAGCCTAGGGTGGGTACCGATAATGAATCAACTTATAATTATTCAGATGACTACATAATTGACTTTGAACAATGCGAGTTTGACGACTACCTGTTCCATAAGGATGATCGTTTACATAATTGACTTTGTAAATGAAGTCATATTAATATGTGCCATATGGCTATTATGAATTGAAAATGAAGTTCATTACTGAATGTAATTGACTTTGAAAATGAAGCCATATTGATTTGGGGCCATATGGCTGTTATGCATTGAAAATGAAGTTCATAACTAAATGCTCGTGGTCCCAGCAGAAGGACAGGTAACACCATGACTTAATAGGCCATCGCCAGCCGACTACCTAAGTAACAGATCCTCTAGCACACTAAAGAAACAACCAATGTGCTTACTTGCACACCATAGCATAAAGGCAACATAAACCAACAGCAGCATGATGAAAATCATAACAAAATTGCATTTCAGAGAGGTTCAGCCCACGTGTTTTCCCAATCCACAATCATGCCTTCGTGCCTAAGACAAGAGTGCCAATCTAAGACAAACACCAACTCAAAGTTGAGCAACACCAGTAGCCCACTCAGCTTACAAATGTGCCCCTTAAATACTTATAGTTATGCAACATAAAAAGGGTCATTACCCAGGGATCCGTTATCAACGGTGCTGGAAGGGCATATAGGAAACAGAACCTTTTGGCATTATTTGCACAAATGGCTACACTATGGATTTCGAAGCGGCATTCTCACTCGGTCACTCTTGCTTAACCACTGCACCACAGCTTGAGCAATTTATGGTTATAAAATAATTTCAAGTCTCCAGCCCCAAGGCACCTTGCAATCCAACCACCTGATGCACTCCAGTAGATACTTAAGACGCATTTTCTACATGTCAAGAGAGCCTGCCAGTAAATTTCCCTGGGGTTGCCAACTCATCGCCTCCCCTTGGTACAGGTGGTGGTAAAAACCAAAAACAAAAGCACTTCCTCTAATGTAAGAAACTCATGATAGTTGTCACGATACTTCTAGCCGCTACACGTGTCCGGACCATATCTGCTTATTCAACAAGTGAATGATCCGTGCTTCCTTGGAACCAACCAACCTTCCTACGAACCAACCAACTTGAAGCCTCATTAATGGAAGGCCCAACAAGACTATAAGCACAAGTTTTAAAATCATAAAAAATAAAAAATAAAAACTGTGTTGAGAAAACTATTCCTACAAACGAAAACTCATTAGCATGGGTAAAACTGTTGACTAGTTCGAGCTGGAGAATACCAGGATTGGTTCATAAGCTGGTGGATACACTAACTTCTTAGATGAACAAACCCATGACTGAAAGAGAGAGACATTGTTCTAATGCATTATGATACATGCATCTTAAATATCTCATTGAAAGAGTAATTTTTAGTAAACCAACTGCATGAAAATAATATCCAGTAACACTACTGATCCAACCATAATAGACAAACAAGACCATTACTAAACACACTTTAATAGGCAAATTCTATTATAAACTTCAATGAAGCACACTGCATGTGCCGAGTTAAAATATTACAAGTTATTTTTGCATTTAAAGAGCTCACAATCTACAAGTATAAAAACAAGGTCTAATGTGTCTTATCAAAAGAATGTAATCCAACCAAACTAAAATTTTACCCTCGTGGCTTGTCATCATTTAGCGGGAATGATCTTTCGTTTCCGTCTCTTTTGTTTCGAGTTGATCTTGCTAGGAGCCATAACTGAAGAAGCAATAGAAGCCATAACTCCAGAAGAAGTAAGATTTCCTGTAATGGACAAACACAAAATTTTTGTCAATATACGAGTAAATGAGGTACCCATGAAGAAACTAATAGTCTCCTTATTCTACTTAATTGCCATAGTAACTCATTTTCTAAAAGATGGTAAGAATACCAAACTACTGAATAAGCATTGGCACATCATACCACTCCTGTGTTACCCAGTTCAAGTACTTTACCGGGTGTGGGCATGCATAGACATATCAAACCTTCAAACGGCCACATGAAAACTACTAAATTATTATTATTTTTATATACATCTTTCACTAGTTGTAAAGCAATAACATAACAAAATTGAATCATTGGATATGTTTTGAGGTGCCAAGGCACATTTTGATAACCATAGCAGAGTATTCTGGGTCTGACACGGGTACTTCACCTATTTTTGACAGTCCATGTAACATTGGTGGTAAGTCAAGGCAAAAAAAAAGGAGTGAGATAGTCGTTATGAATCTTATGGCTAAAAAGCTCATGATATTCACATGCACATAAAGTGAAACACTTTTACCATAAAATACCCTTTTCAAAACCCATTTTGTCCCATCTGCATTCAACCCACTCCTTCCCACCCCTTGCACTTTATTTGGACAATCTAACTAAATAACCCAATACGGTTCTAGAATCACCCAGGTAGGCAACATATAGGGTTCCTTTCAAGATGACACCAACCAAACAAGAAGATCCAACTGCGGCACTTGATGGTTCTGTTCCATATGTCCTACGCACAAGTGAACGAAATCCAGTTTCAATTGCAGAAATGGTGCTCCTCCAAATATCTTCAGATATCGTTCCATTGTCTTGAGAAAGCCCAGTGAAACAATAAATATGGTTCTAAATTTTCTAAATATGATTTCTTGAACTAGCACGTGCAATTGGTAGAAGTGAAGACCAGGAAGTGAAGAAACAAAGGAGAGCTTAAGTAAATGTCTTACGTAATTGTACAAAGAAACAAAGGAGAGCATAAGTCAATTTCTTCCTTAGCTAAGTGAAAAATGCAAACAGTTTTGTAGTTTACACTTTGACATTATTTACTCCACCAAAAATTGACAAAATAATTGTCATTCCTTCCGCAAACTTTCCACATAGTAGATAAAAAATGTCAACAGACTCACAGAAATAGGGGTGCACAAAGTTTGGCTCGGACTGGTTTGGAAGTGTTTTGGAACTAAACCAGCCCTAACTGTTCAACAAAAACTGGATCCAAACCGAACCGTGAAGACCAATGGAACTGAACCAAACCAAACCATGAGGAACCAATTCGGTTCCACGGTCCTAGTCTTAAAGTGTGAACTGTGAGAGTGACTCACTGAGATTGGAGATCTGGATTCTCTTCTTCTTTCTTTCCTTTTTTTATTTTTATTTTTTATTTTTTTTTCCCCCTATATCAGATTTTATTAAGCCACCAAAACAATCCAACTAACTCCAAGCAACAGGCCCAAGGATTACAAATCAACATTAAAACAACCAATTAAAAAATACAAACAGAGAATTAATTTCAAAAATCATTAGCAGGAAACAAGAACAAGTGATCTGAACTCTCCAACTTAACGGACAGAATCACAAACCCTATGCAAAAATGGCTGCATCCCCAAACTATCTCGAAATTCCTCCTCTTATAATTCTAGAAATCTAACAGTTACATAATGGCAAAAAAACAGAAGCCATTGCGACCTGGTTTCTGTAGATCTGAGAACTGAATTATATTCTGTAGATGAAGAGAGAGAGAGTGATGCAGTCCTCATAAAAAATATGACATGTTAGCATAGCTTTCTCTCCTATTATTAGAGAGCTACATAAACATAATACATTACTTTATTCTGTTAACTCTAGTCTTTTAAACCCTGATTATTTAATTTCATTTTTCAAAAGTGACCAGTACCAAATGCGACTGATTCTCACAATAAACTGAAACATGTGGAAATAAGAATAAATGAATAAGACAATTTTTTTTTTTCAAGCCATTAACTTCCCAACCTTATTCCTATTCACTCTAGATTCTAGAACAATGATGTGAGGCCGCGAGAAGATTCTTGGGGTGACTTTGAGGGAGTAGTTGGAATGTAAAAGGCATGGGCTTGCATTTGTTGTAACTTGTAAGAGATAGAGTTGGCATGGCAGAAGCCACTTCTTGGATAGACTGTTGCCATTGAAGTAAAGCATGTCTCTGCCATGTTACCCAGACTCGGGTACGGGTGACGGACACAGATGCATATCCAGAGGTCGGATTAGTTAATATATCAAATAAAAGGACAGGGGGACTCGGCTAAAAAAGTGTCCAATATCTGGACACGGGTACTTGGACACTTTTATAAATGAAAATTGTATAATTTTTATATATGAGCCATCAATTTTATAATAAAATAAAATAAATATTAACCAGCTTTCATGCCCTGTACCTTTTGTTTATGGTATTTGTACCTTTCCAATACCATTTAAAATAAATATGCCAGCTGTTTTTAATTTTCTTTTAATAAAAGTGGCCACTAGTTACTGCTGCAACTGACTATTGAATTTTTTGAAAGTAAAAGTGCAGTGTAAACGAGTATTGTATTTTTGTAAGTAAAACTGTAGTGAAAACTTATACTATTACTTTTTTATTAGTTACAACAATAACTAATAGCTTACAGCTATAACCCAATTACTTACAGCCGTATTCCATTAACTAAAAAGGTTACATCTACCATGGACAAGTGGCTTCATCTTTGCCTTGAACAAAAACAATAAGACATAGCTTCATCTTAACCATTAAAAAAAAGCAGATAGATCTGTAGCATACTTTCCGAGACACGCATCTTCAACCCTTTGCAACTAAAACCACCGTCAATAGCAACAGCCAATCCCTTTCATTTGTTGAACCAGCATCCTAGCACCACCATCAATGGCAGCCATGTCCAGTTAAAAAATGAAGAGTCCGACATATATCCCGTGTCCGCGTCCGCGTCGTGTCGACACAGACACTCTCGCCGGTTCCGGCGAGTCCAGGTAAAATAGTCTCTATGTAATGATAGGGTCATGACGAGAGAGAAGATGGGTATGACAGAGACCTTGGGGACGTATCGGAAGTCTTACATGGGCGTGGACATCGCTAAAACGACACCCTATAAATTAGTCTAGATTTGCAAAATATTTTTTTTTACACTTTTTTTCAGTAAATGTGGGTAATTTAGTACCGTCAAATAGACATTAACAGCATCTAACTTACAGTTCGGGCCAGAACCCCCATAGTATAGTTTAGTGGAAATTTAGGACAATTTTTTATTTTATTTTTTTGTAGGGTGGTTTTGTGCCAAAATTAAAGGTAGGGGAATTTTATGCAATTTGCCCAAAATAAAAAGGGAAAAAATATGCATACAGAGTATTACACAAGAAGATAGTAAAATACCCCCTCCATCCCAAAATTCTTGTGATGCAGGACCAGAAAGAAAGCAAGGGATGTGAAGATAGAAGAAGGGGGTTAGATGACAGACAAAAGAGATGAGAATATAAAATGAAAAGGGGCCCGTTCGGCATTGCTGTTGTAATTAAAAAACAGCTCTTATCAATATAATAGTCATAAAAATTGTTGTTGATAAGAAGAATGTTAGGTATTGCTGTTGTAATTAAAAAACAGCTCTTACCAATATAATAGTCATAAAATTGTTGTTGATAAGAAGAATGTTAGGTGTTTGGTGATGGATTCTATAAAGTATTTATCATGACTAAAGCACTTTACATATATTCTGTAACAATATTAATTTAAGGCACTTCTAATATTAATTTTTCAATAATCTCCTTTAATGGAATGTTTATACATGTGATAATAGCAGAACATTGTAAAAGAAGCAAAATAATTGTATAAGGAAAAACAATTACCTAAAAAGATAAAACCCCTATTCAGGACGTAGTTTTAAAAGTTAAAAATTTTAGCTTCATTGAAAAGTTCTGCTGAGCAAAAATCTCTAACATTTAAAAGTAATTTTTTTGTTTACCAAACACATTTTAAAGCATTTTTTCCAATAAAATTGGTTTTAAATGTCTAAGCAGCAATCCAAAAGGGTAACAAATAGAATGGACGGACGGACGGAGGGGATGAGAGAACAATAGAACAGAAAAGGGGGAGAAAAACATCAGAGACAAATTTGAAGCAGCAATAATCAATATTCCAAAAACCTAATGAGTTCAATTATATTCAGCACTCTTATAAGCAAACCCTAAAAGAAAATAAAATACCCCATAAATGCTAAACATATCCAGAGCAATCAAAATTAAAATACTAATACAGCCCAGACAAAATGTCCTTGCGCCTAAATGAGTATACTTAAATTTTCATACCAAATTTTCCCTACGCCTATACCTGACATAAGTGCGAAACCCCTACATCATATTGTCCCTCTTTCCAAAATTAGCTATCCAAAAATTCAGGTCCCATTAAGAAAGATTCAGGTCCATGTTAGAAAGATTGCATATTTCCTAAAATATCCTTAAATTTTGAAAACTCTTTCCAGCTAACAATACTAACTTTTAACTTCAAATGGGTAATTTTGGAATTTTGAAAGGGGACAATGCATGCAAGTCCTCTTATAGATTTGGAATCCAAAAAAGGAGCAAGAGTACTGGGATGAAGGGAGTATATCTTTTGATTCTTTCCTCATCAATCAAATAAAGCCAAGTGCTGCACTACACGTGGTCAACAATACTAGTCCATATAATTGAAACCCCAAATTAGTCCCTAACAAATCCGGTCAACAAGAATTCCACCCAAGATGTTCTCAAGATACAACAAATAAAAGCATATACATCAAAAGCTATTTGACTTAGCTAACGGGTTATGATACACTACAAGTAGTTATTTTTTTCCCTTTTTCTCAAGACAACATATTAAAGTACAAAGGATGAAATATGTTAGCAGACTTCTAGCCAAGGTACAACCATCTTTTATTTCTCCATTTCTCCAAAAATCTTTCTTAGAAAGATGCAGTGTCGAATTTTAAAACTGTAAAGACAACTTGCAGACTTTGCATGAGGAGAAAAACACACCAAATGCAGCAAACTGAGTGCAGCATGTCTGCATGCTCTTCACCCCATATATAACTTAATGTGAAGGGAAGACTTTGATAAAGCAATAACAGCGAACAAACAATTTAATATACTTGACCCTCGATAAAATAATACCCAAACGATATAGCAATTATGAATAATAATAATAATAATTGTGTGACTAGAAAATGAGAACTAGGCTATGCATACCGATAGAATTAGTACAAGAATATATCTTCACATTAGGACTCACAAATGGATTTAAAGTTGAAAACAGAATAAATTATCGAATTGCTTAATGTTTACTGGAAATTGACTCAGTTTTATAAAAAAACTGCTGAATCCCTAAACAGTTTTTGAGGAAATTCACTATAGCTTCATATTAAGAATAACATGAATTATGCAATTCCAAATTAAAGCAAAGTTATATATATATATGCACAAAAACACATTTTCCAAAATCTTCAAAGACAATCAATACTTAAAAAAAGAACAAGAACTAACAACATCATATTAAAGCCAAATAATGAATCATTAATCAAGGCTCTTCAGAAGCCACCGAGAATTGAACATTTACAAACACAATAACGGCTCCTAAGATTAATTCACTAGAAATAACAAGAAAACATGAAAGACAACTAACACGTGTCGTTTTATAGACCCGATACTCTCATCTCAATTCCAAACATAGCTATAAGGAAGACACACATCCACTATTTAATGCAGCATTACAGTACATTTTACATTTGTGAACCCATAAACTTGAATGGTTTAACCAATAATCCAACTCAATGGTTGTACACAAGGATCCTACATAAAGTAGGATCAACTAGATAACCTTCCGCCATCCATTTTGTTTTCATAAACATTGCCCTAAACTGGCGAGACAAAAATCATTTAGCAGCCCATATGATGCTAAGAATTAAAGTTAATGTTTTTTATCTACTTAAGAAGCCTGTAGAATGACTCTATACGGAAGAGGTTTACATACAAGAAATTCATAATTATGAAGAAAATGGGAAAAAAAGATATATCAAATTGAATTCTCAAAAATAAAATAGAATTCCAAAATCAATTAATATTATTCATACTTTCGAGATAGCGGTAAACTATATCAAACAATGGTAGATATCTTGGAAAAAAATGTTACACAAAAACTATATATATTAGTTAAAGAGAACTTCTCTGCCAGTGTTGAACTGAAATTAAATAAATCTGAGTGATACATACCTTGATAGATGCGGTGGGTTTTTATCCTAACTTTGCCAGGACATTCCAATTTCTACATCCAAAATAATGAAAAATTTATTAAAGTTCTAAACTAACAGGAACTTCAAAAAAGTGTCAAAAGACTAGATATTAAATTTGGCTACGGTCGCAAAACAAGAAACATAATGTGAAAACATGAAAATGCAAACAGATTAAGGGAAGATATAATAAGAATACCCTCAGACTACTAAATATAAGAAAACATGAAAATGTAAAAAGATTTGAAGTCGACACAGTAACTCTACAAGTCATATACTCGCCTCAAAGGCCAACCACTTCTTTAAAAGAATCCCCTTTTGAAAAGAAATAAGTGGAAATAATGGATTTCAAAATGTTTCTCTTCTCTCTTTTAAGATTGAGAGAAGAAATCTCTAAAACAAAAATATTACTCCTTAATACATAAAATATACCAAATTTAGTTTAGTTGTATAAAGACTTATGCTGTATCAAAAAAATAAAAATAATAGATGAACAAAGTATTAAATACTTTAATTTAGTGAAAATTAAGTGAATAAAAGAAACTCACCATTCTGTTCATTATATATATAGCCTATATAACCTTTGAAATTATAAGATTGGTAGGTATGTTGATCAATTTGCAATTTAATGAAAATCAAATGAGGGGTTTTTTTTATTAAAAAATAATGATAAAAACTGCATCCCTTTGTTCATTAGATGAAACATTCATTGCCCTGAGATCTGAGATTAACCAGGTTCATACATTATAATTACCTGTTCAACCCCCCAATGCAAATATTAGCCATCGATATGACACAATTATGACACAAATACGTACTTGTTACTTTCTTTCGAAATGACACAATTATGACACAAATACGTACTTGTTACTTTCTTTCGATATGACACAATTATGACACAAATAGGCACTTGTTACTTTCTTTTCCATCATCGAATCTATTTAATGTTTATGGTAAACATGCATATGCAAGCAAGCGATGCTAACATACATACATCCATACTAAACAATTGGTGTTTATACCTCATCCTCTGGCCGGAAATACGGAGTTGCACCAGACAAAACAACAAATTTGCAGCCCTTACGCTTTAACGTGATCTCAGCTATGCAATTTGAATTGGTGCAATCCACGTAGATCTTGGACCAAGTTATATCTCGACCACCCTGCATCGCATAATATACAAAACCAAATTAATCAATATAACACACACACACACATATATATATGGAGAGAGCGAGAGGAGACGATGATCTGAACAAATGAATCTTCTAACTTACTTTGCCCGAGACATCGTGTGTGACGGCAATCTCGGAGCATTTGGGCATGCGGTTGCCACAAGAGTCGCAGATGAGACTGATCGGAAGACTGGTGTACGCTAGGTACTGATTGGGACCGAGGCTTTCCTTAGGTCGATGGGGAGGCATCTCTACGCGAACGCTGCTTATAAGATTCGAATCGGAATCGGAATCGGAATCGGAATCGGAATCGGAGTATGCCATTCGATCTTGTATTCACAGATTTGCTGATCTTCTTCACGATAAAATAATAGACCACTATTTATTCCCTCTATTTATTCCTTACTCCATCCAAACCCTAATCCCTACTGTATACGGAGTAGTCCATATATATATATACTCGTATATATACTGTAAATTATGTGACCATGGTGGATGAGAAATTTGGGCCTACAAATGGTTGGGCTTTACGCGACAATATGTAGCGTTAGGGGCCTCGGTTCGAAACTTTCTGTCATATGAATAGCGAATACAGATATGACAATTTGGGTAGAGCCCCTTTGGATTGCTGTTAAAATAATAAAAGCGTTTTTAATCTGTTACAAAATTACTGTAATTAATTATAAAGCATTCTGATACTTAAAGCACGTATAAATTTGTTTGGTAATAACGTTATTTAAAGCACTTTTAATATTAATTTACTATATTAGACATACACTAATAACAATATTATATGATATTAATGTGAGTGATTCATTCCCTTGGTATGATTGTTGGTTAACATTGCTTGATTTTGGGGTTATAAAACTAATTTAAATATAGGTTACACCAGTGTCTTAGTGGCTTATTATAATACGATATGCAGATATGCAGATTAGTAAGGTATAAAATTGTATTTATAAAGAAAAGTAAAGAATTGTATTGTCAAAAAAAGTAGTTACCTAAGTTTACCTCGAGCATAATTACAAAAGATACAATTTTTAGCTTCATGTAAACTAGTTCTAATTGCAGTTTTTTTTAGCGACAGAGAAACAATCCCAAACAAGCACTAAGACATTCCCCTTCTTCTTGGTTTGGCGATCAAGATCCTAGCCGTCAATTTCATCACCAAATAGTGAATATAGATACAAATAAAACGGAAGTATAATATTTCTATTTTAAAAAATAATTAAATTTTGAGTAGTTTTTTATTCACGGAAACAAATATAACATGATATCGGTAGAGCGATATGGCAAATCTCAAATAAACAAGGTACAGATAAGATACGACAATAAAAAATAAAAAAATTATATATATATATATATATATATATATAAACAAGTATCCTAGTGATATATTAACTCTAATCCTAGTGATATATTAACTCTAAAGTAAGGTGTTTTGATAAGTTTACAAAAATAAGTAATGGGTATGTATACGTGGGAAGTAGTTGTCCCAAATCGAATAGAAAGTGATGCTAATTTGAGCATATATATATATATATATATATATATATATGTAGTCCAAGTTTGGCATTTGGGTTTTGGCCCAAGGGCACCCATGTTTTTAAGAAGAAGACCTAGGCTAGCCTTTGCTCAAACCATTCACGACACGCGCCGCTTGACTCGAAACATCCCGAGTCTGGCCTAGGTTGGGGCTTAATTGTAAAATCTGATTATTTTCTTTAAACAGATTTTAACTGGGCTTGAATAAGTGCATGTGGTTCAAACCAGTGCACAATACCCATTCAAAACAGGCACTGTGCATACGAATTTGAATAGGTGTTTTGGCAATGATTTGGACTAAACCATCTCGTCCGATGACGGTTTGGGTCACCCGAAAAGCACCTAGTTGCCTATAAATACCCCCTGGTTCAATTATAAGGTGCACAAATTCATAATCTTTTACAGATTTCTGAATTCTTTTCCTCTTTCTACCTCTCTTCTTTGCATACATATAGTTCTATAGTGTAAGTTTGAGTCCAATCTAAAAGAAAGAGTACTACATCGAGCTGGTTCGCCCATTTCTCCGGTCTGAAGTGTTGTAACCAAAGAAATAAAGATCGTTGTATCCTGGAAGACAAACACTACAGAGTCCGTCAGCACCGTTGCACAGCGAATTTGTTTTTAGGAAATAAAATCAAATTTTAGCATCGCCCTATTAGTTTTTTATATAGTTTATTATTATTACTATTATATTGAGTTATAATTATCTTTTAGAATTTGTATAATATTTAAATAGCAATATCACAGTATTAATTCACTTCGGATGTGGCCCAATGGTTTACTCGCAGGACTTTGGTGCTTAGCAAGCCAAGGTCTGGGGTTCGAGTCCCGCTGGGTGTTCTTTGTGGCTAACCTCCGCTATCCCTGCAGTGACTTACCCCGCCCGGGTGGGGAGGTGCCCTTCTGAGTCTTCGGGGATTAGTTGGGTTGTTGAGAGGCCCTAAGGGTTTGTGCCATCCCGGACACCCCGGGTTAATAAAATAAAAAAATAAATATATATAAGAAGATTCTCATGCGGTCCAAAACAATGGACTTTTCAAGTGATCAAAACTCAATTAGTCAATTATACTTTATTACCCAAAATTCAGGGGATCCTTTCCCCAAACCCATACGCGTTTCTGTAGGTCTTACTATAACCGGTTTGTCGGGAAAAATACGTACCCATATTTTTCCACCACGACGTGCATTTCGTGTCATTGCTCGTCGTCCGGCTTCTATTTGTCTAGATGTGATCCAAGCGGGTTCAAGTGCCTGAAGAGCATATTTACCAAAACAAATATGATTACCTCGATAAGATATTCCCTTCATTCTTCCTCTATGTTGTTTACCTCAATACCTTTATTCAATCTCTCTCCTCCTTAATCTCTTCTCTTTCTCTCTTTTCTTTTAGCACTTTGATTTTTTTATTTTTTATTTCTTAATTTTTTGCTCTCTTAATTTTTTTTCGCTTGATGGCCTGACTATTGCTCTCTTAATTTTTTTCTTCGACTCATTGTTCCACACTTCATGAATAAGCTTTTTTTTAGGGTTCAAATGATACCAATTTTTTAAGATTTGTGAATAAGCTTTTTTTTTAAAAAAAAAATTTTGCTCTCTTAATTTTTTTCCTATTCAATTTAGGGGGATTGTTTGTCTTTTGCGCTTTAATTTTTTATTTTTTTGCTCTCTTAATTTTTTATTTTTTTGCTCTCTTAATCCCATTGAAAGTAGTAGCAACATCAGTGAAGTTAGCAATACCTCCTCCAATGAGAAGGGCTCTCTTACGACCATCAGGATCCGCAGTTGCACACTGCAACCAAAAAACAATGGTTATTGTTGGAACAATAAAGTTGAGGTGCCAAAGGTTCTAACTTTGCACAGGAAGAACATGAAGCTTAATTTCTTACATCAATAACTCTGGCATATTGCAACACCTCCTCCTCATTTGGTGCACCACTATACCCTGCGTAATTACCAAGCTCTTAATTTTTTTTGGTTTGATGGCTGATTGTTGCTCTCTTATTTATTTTTTATTTTTCTATTCTCTTAATTTTTTTGGCTTGATGGGTTGACCCATTATTTTTTTCTTTCAATTTCATGAGTAGTTGTGTTGTGGTTGTAGTGGTGAAGACAGTGGCTGTAGGGGTGAAGACAATGGCTATGGTGGCAGTGGTGAACACTGCAAGAAAGATGGAAGAGATTAAAGACGGGAGAGATTGAATAAATTTATTGGCTAACTATAGTAAATTGACTAATAATGTTAACATTATTAACTATGGTAAGCCTTATAAAGTAATAAAGTGTAATTCGATTTTGGTCCGTTGAAAAGTTTGTTGTTTTGGACCGCATGAGAGCCTTCATGTATACATATTACGAATAACTACACAAACAACTTGAGCTCAACTAGTTAAGGGCTCATTTCCTGTTCGTTTAATGACTAAACCAATCAAATCTAAATAAGTTTTTAATGTTTCATTAATAAAGGAGGGAATCTTAAACACTCCCCAGCTTGACTCTTTTTTTTTTTGTGAACAAACTCATTATTAATAGTCTTGCTTTGATGTCGTGAATATAAATAATTATATAGATTTGTGTATATAATTATGGGGCTAAAGTGCAAAAACACCCATGTTATATAAAAAAAAATATGGTAGAAACACTCTTCTTTTTTATAAAGTGCATATAAAGTCGCTATATTTTAAAATTTTGTGCAAATTATTCAGTGGTTGTCAATTTTGACCAAATTTATTTTTAAAAAAAATTCAAAATACCCTTAAATGAATTTTAGCTGTTTCTTTTTTTCTTTTTTTTAATAAAAATAATAATAAATAAATAATTTGGGGTTTATTATTTTTTATTTTGTCTTAAGGACAATTTAGATATTTTAATCTTCAAATTGAGTAATTGTTCTTCTTGTTCAATTTGAAAAGCCAAGGGAGTTTTTTGAACACCACGGAATACTTGCACAGTGTGTAACAAAATCCTAAATTCTATCAACCAAACAATTCCATACATAAAATTATTCTAATATTTAATTTCTTATAATGTATTATAATTTTTTTATAATATTATTTATTTCAATAAATTATATATATATAAAATTTCTCTACTCCTAAAAAATTCTTAAACTCTATCAATTACTTTATATTATGTTTGGAAGAACTAAATTGATGTCTTGGATTTAGGATCGGAGGAATTTTAGTTCAAAACTTGTACTAAAATTTCTCCAATACCAAATCTAAGGCCGTCAATTCGGTGCCGCCAAACATAACATATTTGTTTTCGATCATTCCTAATTTCTTTTACTTCCAATGTCTACTAATATAATGCTAAACACTGTCAATTACTCTTAAGAATTTTATTCATATAAAAAATTATTCTTATATATATATATATATATATATATATATATATATATATATATATATTTGACTATTAATAATTACAATCGTTCATTCAATTAGTATTAGAGAGACTGGAAACTTGGCTCCCAAAAACAACAGGTGCAACCTAAACCTGCATTATTTGTAGAAAAATCGTTCTGTTCTGAAAAATGAATCATGTTAGAACCTAATTGTCATTGAAATAAATTTAATACTATAAATTTGCTTCATTCCGTTATTCACATTTTGTTTAATCATTCTAATACAAATATACTTCAACTTACTTACCCCGAAAAAATATATATACTTCAACTTCATTAAGTTTTGTTTGCCTTCATCTAACAAAATCTAAAGTTTAAACCAATCATATGAAGCCTTATTCTAAATGTGTAACAATTTAAGAATAGATATAAAATATATATAATATTATTTTTAATAATCCAATATTATACTATTTCTCTACTAAAATATATAAACAAATTGGTATAACACAAACTCTTTTCAAAAGATATAGTATTTGAAA